CGGCTTCAAATCAAGCAGGAGAAAGCTGTTAGGCCCACTTGTGAGAGAATGGATCTGTGTGGTCAGTGTGCACCATATAAAAAAAATCCTGGAGCACGCAGTGTATGATGAGAAAAAAAAACTCGGACCGTTTTTTTTTAATTAAAATGCCAACTTTGTGGTCTATTTTCGTATAGTATTTACGGTTGTATTCTCATTTTCTTGGTCTCATTTGATAGAATGGAAAACATATTATAGAAATAGAGGTGATTTTGATTGATTTTACTATAAAAAGAACCTGGAAATGGAGCTCAAAGTAGGGGAAATGTTTGATTTTTGCCGATGTTCAAAAGTAAACAAATGATGTCATTGTCCAATAAATGTCCAACTAGCCATTCTAATATGCAGTCATGAATGGGTTGATGTTATTTATACAATTATTACAGTATTGCAGTAGTCTGCATAACAGTAAATCTTTAATATATTGTTTGAATAAAAATTCAAAATAGAAAGCAAGAGTAATATCAGAGGAGCCTGGAGACATGACTGATGAACAAAGAAAATGTTATTTTAAAGCCAGGAATGTCTGCATTGTTCATTCTGGACCTTATTTTGAAATTGTCATATTTTTTAATTTTCGTGAAATTGGCCAAATTGCAAATTTCTGACCACATTATTGGGTGGTTGAAATCAGTAAATGGGCAGTTTCTTGTACTCAATCGATAGAAAAAATGGAGTTCTAAAGAAATAGCTATGAATTTGGTCGACTAGAACAATGGAATTAGCCGAAAATAGGGCTCAAAGTGGGCGAAATCGCCGATTTGTAAATATCGCCGAGGTCGCTAACTTCGCAAGAACATAATTCCGTCAGTTTTCTATAAAATTTCGTTTTTTTGGTGTCATTACAATCGGGAAAAGATTCTCTATCATTTCACAAGAAAAAAATTTTTTTTCTTTTTTTTTGAAATTTTGCGACACCAGGAGACACCTCAGGATTGGGGGTTGCGACAGTCAAGGGGCTAAACTGCATCTGCCACTTCTCTGACCACTGCATCAGTCTATTATGATACTTCTATCGTGTGCCTTATATGTCGTATAATAAGATTGTTTTGAGAATGACTTGCCTTTTATGGGCCAGTAGACCTGCTGCAGTAATCCTCCATTATGTTCATGTATTACATACTGTATCTATCACTACAACTCCCTACCTACACCAGGGATAGGTCCATTGTTTAGTAGAGGCAGAGTGTTCTTATAACCTCTCCAACCCCATTCGACGAGTGTAACACCAACACTATGAAAAAAAATATAAAAATACTGAGAGAAGTTATCGAAAATTTTTGTTACTGTTGGGATGAAGGTCTGTGACTGCTCTGAGGCCAACTAATGTTGGGCTAACAGGCAGTGCTGGCCTAAGGGGCATCACAACTGTTTAACCAAACAACAGTCAGCCTCTTTATATTAATAGTTTACAAAACCAATAAGTCCATGAATACGCACACATGCAACACTTGCAGAGATGGTCTGCCAACCAGTGGCTTTATCAATCCAATACAGAGAATAATACTAGAGATGGTGGAAGATGTGAGGTAGTAGTTTAAGGTGATGAGTGCTTCAGCCATGAAATAAATGTTCAGTCCAGCAGTCTTGATTCATCAAAACTTTTCAACTAACACTTCATTTCAAAACTGAAAGACAGATCACCTCAAAGAGCTTCATGTCTTCCACCAGTAATGGACTGATAAAGCCACTGGGTAGCAAAAAGTCTCTAAGATCAGGATACCCAAACGATGCACACAGTGTCTAGGAGCCACCACAGCCCTTCAACCCAACAATAACAAAAATATGTGATACTTCTCTTAATATTTTAATATTTTTTTCATATTTTTTTGTGTACATTATTAGACTCTATAATAAATGTGGAGGAAAATATACTATGCCTCAATTGAACACTGGACTTATTGCTGATGAAGGGCATTAGTAGCTGTGGAAAGTATGGCATGTAATGACGCTCCTCTCTCTCTCAGATACTCTCTCAGACACAATCAGACCCTGTCTAATTTTTCATTCTTAGCATTATTACTTATAAACCCATAAAACAGGAGTATAACACGATTATGCATCTACTAAACAATGGACCCATCTCCGGCGAGTACACATCTTTCAAATTTCATCGCTGGAAAACCTAATGCAAATCAGACACGGAGTGTTATTGTCCTGCGCTTCATCTCCGAAGTTATGTTGTATAATTCACTTAATGACTCATTTCTTCAGTCCCCAGCTAGGTCATTAAACAGTACTTCACTGTGCATGTAAAGAGTGATACATCCAATACCATGAGCGAGGGAGGGAGTGGGAGTAGGGGAAAGAAGCAATGAAAGTGAGTGGGAGAGGGAGGGAATAGGAGAGGGAATGAATGTGAGAGTGGGAGGGAATAGGGAAAAGGCATGTGAGGGGATGTGGAGACAGAAGGAATGGGGGAGAGTGGGAGGGAATGGGGAGGAGTGAATGGGATAAAGTGAAAGGAAATGGGTGAAAGGAAGGGAAAGAGGGAGGGAAGAAATGGGAGGGGGAGGCAAGTAATGGGATAAGGAGGAAAGAAATAGGAGAGGGAGGCAAGGAATGGAAGAGAGGGTGGGAATGAAGGAGGTAATGAATGGGAGGGAATGGGAGAGGGAGTCCTGTTGTTGCTTGCCATATTGTGTCAAAGATGGGAAAGAGGGGTGGAAGTTAATGGGAGAAAGGAAGGAAATTATAATAAGAGAAAGGGAAGTTAATAGGAGAGGTGGGAGCTAGTGTAAGCAAGGGATGAAGTTAATGGGAAAGATAGGCAAGTTAATAGGAGAGAGATGTAAGTTAAGGGGAGAGGGATGGAAATGGGAGAGAAGGATGAAGTTAACTGGAAAGAGGGATGAAGTTAATGGAAGACAAGGGGTAAAAGCTGAAGGGAGAGAGGGGAGGAGTTAATGGGAGAGTAAACATGAGGAAGGTTAGGGAATGGGAGAGGGTAAGAAAGAGGGAGGGATGATTAAAAGGGAGTGAAAAAGAGGAAGGGGGTCGCCGGGTCACCATCTGGAGAAGACCCGGGCCGGAAGTACCGGCAAATCTTTAATGAATGAATGAGGAAGGGGGTGAGGGGGGGGTAACAAATAGGGAGTGAGAGAAAGGATGGGGTAAGAGGAAGCAGAGTGAGAAAGAGGGAGGGAATGAGAAAGAGGATGGGGTAAGAGGAAGGGGGCTCATCTGAATACCATAGTATTTTATTGTTAAAAATATAAAATGAAATCAGAAAATGACTATTATCACTCAGGAACACATCTCTGATTATAACATGGGAAGCTATGAAAAGATAAGTTTAATGTTTTGAGCACCCAAATAAACACTTCTCAAGAATGTATCAACGTTGCAAGTTGAGACCCTACTGAAAAAAAAATAAAGAAATAAAGAATGCTAAAGCAGTATTAATGAAATATGAAACACACTATAAATAAATATGAGTGTAGTGTGAGTGTATACATGGTAATACAGTGGACTCCCGATGTACAATGTCCCCAGCCTACGTTAAAACCGACCTACGATGCTTTTCAGCGTACAAATGAACCCGACATACGTTGAAAAACTCGACCTACAGCATTCGTCCGGTACGTGTCCACGTGCCTGTCCGCCTGAGCGCACCTCAGATGGCCTGCCTTCAGTTAGTGTGCCAATGTTTACAAGCCAGAGCGGTAGCTTCCACGCATACATTCGGAATATTTTGTATTATTCCAGTGTTTTTAGTGCTTCTAACTGCTAAATAAGCCACCATGAGCCCAAAGAAAGCTTCTAGTGCCAACCCTGTGGTAAAAAGGGTGAGAAATATCGAAATATTATCATACCACAGTCAGCTGCTGCTGCTGCTGTAGCACCGTCAGCTGCTGCTGCTGTAGCACCATCAGCTGCTGCTGCTGTAGCACTGTCAGCTGCTGCTGCTGTAGCACTGTCAGCTGCTGCTGCAGCACCGTTGTTGGTGTGACTTATCGAGAATACCGAGAAACAGTTAACCCCAGAGGGTTAGCCACCCAGGATAACCCAAAAAAGTCAGTGTGCCATCGAGGACTGTCTAACTTATTTCCAGTGGGGTCCTTAATCTTGTCTCCCACGATACAACCCACACCAGTCGACTAATACCCAGGTGAACAGGAAAAAATGCCTGGAACTAGTGCTCATATTGGTGAATTTAAGGCCAGCAAAGGCTGGTTTGAGAGATTTAAGAATCGTAGTGGCATACACAGTGTGATAAGGCCTGTTCTGGAAGAAAATACCAAACAGGACCTACATTACTCTGGAGGAAAAGGCACTCCCAGGACACACTGTTTCATCAGTCATTGCTGCATCCTCAATAAAGGTGTCATTTATTCTTCACTTAGTAGAGTAGTACATGCACAATATATATTGTGCATGTACCACTCTACTATTGTGCATGTATACTTCTTTCTGTGTGTAGGAAAATGTATATTTCATGTGGTAAAAAAATTTTTCATACTTTTGGGTGTCTTGCATGGATTAATTTGATTTCCATTATTTCTTATGGGAAAAATTAAATAAACCTACAATAATTTCGTCTTATGATGGGCTCTCTGGAACGGATTATTATCGTAGGTCAGGGGACCACTGTAAATCATTTTAGAGGGTGTCCTCCCTCTCCATTACTTACTCCACAATGGTTGTATTATCCATTTCTTTAGTACAGTGTATATGTACTTTCAGTATTTAAAAAATACAAATTAAAATTTTTGTTACATAAAATTTGAAGCACAAATTAAAATTTATTAAATTCTTATTTTGCTAAACATTATTTTAGTACAATACAATGACAGTCATCAATATTAAAACTTAACTATATTTCATTATTAGAGTTATATAACAAACAAAAAGAACTCCATTTATAAGAAATTGGAGTTAGAGTTAGAAAAGAAACAATAATTCAAATTTATCATCAACAAATTCACTTCATGCAGAACAATTCTTTAATAAGAACTCACCCGTTTCCTTGTTTCATAATCCAGTGGGCCAGCCACATATATTGCACCGGTCATGTTTTTCACAGCGAAGGCTCCACCAATGTTGCCATTTGTGATTTCGTATCTGATGCGAGAAGCTGCAAATAACATTAATCTCAGTAACATTATGGACAATTAAGGAGCTAAATTTAATACCTACATAGGTTCCATGATGAAGTACACAATGCTGTCACTATTTATATAGCATAGAATGAAATATATTAAATAAGAATCTAACAGTGTTAGATAAACAAAAAACTAAGTTTTTTTGTATGTGTAATTAGATTTTTGGAATAATAAACGATAAATCAATAACATGCTAATAGCTAGAATATCCTTTTATTTAACCCTTTGACTGTCGCAACCCCCAATCCTGAGGTGTCTCCTGGTGTCGCAAAATTTAAAAAAAAAAAATTATTTTTTCTTATGAAATGATAGAGAATTTTTTCCCGATTGTAATGACACCAAAAAAACGAAATTTGATGGAAAACTGACGGAATTATGCTCTCACAAAGTTAGCGACCTCGGCGCTGTTTACAAATCGGCGATTTTGCCCACTTTGAGCCCTATTTTCGGCTAATTCCATTGTTCCAGTCGCCCAAACTCATAGCTATTTCTTTAGAACTCCATTTTTTCTATCGATTGAGTGCAAGAAACTGCCCATTTACCGATTTCAACTACCTAATAATGTGGTCAGAAATTTGGCCAATTTCACGAAAACTAAAAAATATTACAATTTCAAAATAAGGTCCAGAATGAACAATGCAGACATTCATGGCTCTAAAATAACATTTTCTTTGTTCATCAGTCATGTCTCCAGGCCCCTCTGATATTACTCTTGCTTTCTATTTTGAATTTTTATTCAAACAAAAAATAGAAGACTTACTATTATGCAGACTACTGCAATACTGTAATAATTGTATAAATAACATCAACCCATTCATGACTGCATATTAGAATGGCTAGTTGGACATTTATTGGACAATGACATCATTTGTTTACTTTTGAACATTGGCAAAAATCAAACATTTCCCCTACTTTGAGCTCCATTTCTAGGTAGGCTCTTTTTATAGTAAAATCAATCAAAATCACCTCTATTCCTATAATATGTTTTCCATTCTATCAAATGAGACCAAGAAAACGAGAATACAACCATAAATACTATATGAAAATAGACCACAAAGTCGGCATTTTAATTAAAAAAAAAAACGGTCGGAGTTTTTTTTTTCTCATTATGCACTGCGTGCTACAGGACTTTTTTATATGGTGCACACTGACCACACAGACCCATTCTCTCACATGTGGGCCTACCAGCTTTCTCCTGCTTGATTTGAAGCCGCTAGAATTTATGAGTATATATACGTCAAACACGGTACCTCGTAAGACGTATATATACGGCCGCGACAGTCAAAGGGTTAATATGCCTCAGGCTGAAATCTGCACATGAACATTCCTATGTATATACCTATAAAATGTTTCAATGTCTTTTTCCATTCAGGAATTCCTTTGAGAGCATGTGTATGTATAAGAGAACTGCCTTCACCCTTTGAGTAGGTTGGGAATCATCTATTTGTGGTTCTAGTTCAAGACTGTGTAACATTTACTCTGACTACAAAAAAAAAAAAAAAAAAAAAATTCAGGCTGCTGCCATCTGGCATCCAGAATGAAAACTATTCCCTGCACAAGTTGATGCATATGTGGCCTATTTTCTCAAGTTTCATTATAAATTACATAATAAATGAATAAAGTAATATTGTACATAGGTAAGTGATATTATAGCTCTTGCATATAAAATATACAATGTATACAGAACAATGAAATAAGATGCTAATTTTTTTTACATTAGGCAAAAAAATAATTACTCGTTACTATTAAGTCTTTATTTCATACAAACTACAATATAGGTACAGTGGACCCCCGGTTTTCGTCCTTAATCCGTTCCAGAAGGTCGGCTGAAATCCGAAATGAATGAAAACCGAAGTAATATTTTCCATAAGAAATAATGTAAATCCAATTAGTCTGTTCCAGACACCCAAAAATATTAATAAAAAATAAATTTTATAGAGAATAACTAGTATACTGTTGCAGTTCTTCAGTGGCTAGCTCTTCCCTGTGGTCGTCCACGAACTTTTCCACATCCTGGTCACTCGCATCCAACCCCATGGACTTCCCAAAGCCACAATAGATCCCATAACAGGCATAGGGCTGTCAAGTTTACAGTAACTTTTATTAAGTTAGTAATAGAACTTGACATTAACCCTTTGACTGTCGCAAGCCCCTTTCTGAAACTCATTCTATGCCGCAAAATTTTTGGAAAAAAAAAAAAATTCTTATGAAATGATAGAGAATCTTTTCCCAATGGTAACGACACCAAAAGTACGAAATTTGGTCGAAAACTCACGGAATTACGCTCCCGCGAAGTTAGCGGTCTCTGCAACATATACGCATTGGCAATATCGCCGATTTTGAGCCCTGTTTTTGGCCAGTTCTGGTGCTCCAGTTGACCAAACTCATAGCTGTTTCTTTAGAACTCCATTTTTTCTATCAGTTGAGTACAAGAAACTGCTTATTTACCGATTTGAACTACCCAATAAAGTGGTCAGAAATTGGCAATTTGGCCAATTTCACGCAAAGTAAAAAAGATGCAAATTTCAAAATAGGGTCCAGAATAAACAATGTAGACATTCTTGGCACTAAAATAACATATCCTCTGTTCATTAGTCACGTCTCTAGGCCCCTCTTATATCACTATTGCTTTCTATTTTGATTTTTTATTAATACAAAAAATACAAAATTTACTGTTAGGCAGACTACTGCATTATTGTAAAAATGGTATAAATAATATCAGTGCACTAGTGAAAGAATCTTAGACTCCCCAGTTGACGTGTATTGGATGTGTGGTGTGATTTGCTTACTCCTGAACATTGGTAAAAATCGAACATTTCCACTACTTTGAGCTCAATTTCAAGGTTGTTTTCATCGTGAAACTAATCAAAATCATCTCTATTTCTGTAATACGTTTCCCATTTTATCACACGAGACCATGAAAATGAGAATACAACGATAAATACTATACAAAAATACACTTCAAAGTCGGCATTTTAATCCAAAAAAAAAGTTTTTTTTTCTCATTATGCACTGCGTGCTGCAGGATTTTTTTTATGTGGTGCACACTGAGCACACAGACCCATTCTTTTTCATGTGGGCCTAACAGCTTTCTCCTGCTTGATTTGAAGCTGCTAGAATTTACACATATAAATACGTCCAAAACAGTGGCGCATAAGACGTATATATACGACCAAAACAGTCAAAGGGTTAAAAAACACAATAAAAAGTAAAATACATATACAGTACGTACATTCATTACTTACCTTAAAATATTTGTAGTCTTAATGTAGGGCGAGAGGCGAGTAGTATATTTATTTGTAGGAAGTCAGTGTAGGTAGCCGGTAGGTGCAGGTAGCCAGTAGGTAGCTTGGGCTACACCTACCGGCTACCTACACTGTGGCCCAGAGCTATATTATTACCATCGACATATACCATGTTCACCGAGTTTAACCGATTTCTAACAACTACCTTTAGATGCCATCATAAACAAAGGGAGAAGTAATGAATAATTCATGCCGAGAATTGTAAGCAAAAGCGTTATGTATTAAGAATGGTGACTGGGCCAACGCAGATTCATACATGTTTTCTCTAATGCTGGACCAGAGAAAACGTAATGTTTTCCCTCCACCGACTACCAGTCTTCCATAGCATATAAACAATGCATGTTTATATCCTATTTAACGTGTTTCTTTTATAATTTTGAAGAAAATATCATGGATGGATTAATGAAAATGTCTATATTAATGTAAAATAAAGATGTTTAATGTGCCCAAGAGTGAGTCACAAACGTATGAGCGGCCCAGGCGGATGCATCTGGTATGGACAATTTCCGAGCAGATGTATGAAACCTGGGGTAAAATTTCGCTGAAAAAAGTTGTCGAAATCCAAATTGTATGATTTCCACACTGGATGAAATCTGGGAGTCAATATAATTTAAACTAAGATAACTTATATATCAGCCACATTTGAAGCAAATCTTCAGAATCACTGAGAGGAAACAAGACACTGCTCAAAGTTCTATCCTGTAACTGTCTGCTAGTATCCCTGCTCTACTTCTTTTGCAGGAGACAATGTTCAGTAATAACTAAGGTCCCCATCGAAATTATTTCTAACTCAATAACGTTAAATATTTTGTTTCTTTCTATTATACTTTAAACAGCATTATTAAATTATGGTTTCCCATTCTTTGCATGTACAATATTTTCCCAAGTTATTAATTTCAATACTCTAACTTCATTACTGTACTAATTTTATTTCTCTATTTTAATTACATGTTAGACTGGCAGGTTTGAGCAAGGAGAATATTACATCTCGAATCATTGTTTATGGTCAACCTGAGGGTCTATTATACGTCTCTCTCTTACAGCTCTTCTCTGATGTACCATATTTGTACAATACTTTGTTAACCATCTGAAGGCCCATCCTGTCCCATAGTTCTATGGCTTTGAAGCCAGGGATCAAGACATAGTTCTATGCCATGAGCTTAGTTCACTCAGATAAGCTGTGAACAGTAAATTTGGCCCTAGATATGAGAGAATGCATCTATGTGGTAAGTTTGCACCATATAAAACAAATCGTGCAGCACACAATGCATGAGAGAAAAAAACTGAGACCATGTTTTTTAATTAAAACAGCAACTTTGCGGTGAATTTTCATATGTTTTTTACAGTTGTATTCGCAGTTTCTTGGTCTCATCTGATAGAATGGAAGATATAGAGAAATAGAGATGATTTTGATTGGGTTTAATACTGAAAATGGCTTGAAACTGAGCTCAAAGTATCAAAAATGTTCAATTATTGCAGATGTTCAAGAGTAAACAAATGATGTCATGCGTCCAATACACATCAACTGGGGGGGTCTAACGTGCATTCACAATGCTCTGATATATTTTATATAATTATTACAATATTGCATAACAGTAAATCTTCTATTTTTTGGTGTGAATAAAAATTCATTATGTGAATAAAAATTCATTATGTGAATAAAAAAT